GAAACCGACTCCTAATCTGATAGAATTTTCACAGATAACACACACTTTAAGTACATTAAAATTATAATAATTAATCCAGTACCTCTGATTGACGACATCCTTAATGTGACAAGTGGAGCGGGTTGGGTGTGCCGAGGCTCTACAAGCATGTGAGCAATGTATTGCAGATCAGCTGTAGTACCTGGTTGTTCCACCAGGGGGAGCCTCTTACCATTTAAGAGACCAGAGCTGTGTCCTACATAGTGCACTATTATAGGGTGTTCGCCATGTTGTAGGGCTGTCTAAATGTCAAGATACAAACGTCACCTTCTACATAGTGCGTTCAAAATATCCCACAATGCACGGCGAAAAGTAGCGTACAGCCGATGGCCACTGCATGAGGTAAAAGGAAATGCAACCTATACGAACGGGAGCGCGAAAACTTGTCATTAAAATGTAAGTAATTTCCCATTTGTGTTTTATCAAATTTAATTTCTTAGCTAAGCATTAAACTGTGAATGTGATGTGTTTGCACTACGCTGCTAAACTGCAGCTAGCGAGCGACGTAATTAAAAGTTTGAGTACTGAGTGCTCCCTACATAGTGAGGTAGGACATGTTGGCAAACAGAGGGCATTGTGGGGGATTAACTAGCAACGGGCACCAAGAACAAGACTTCTGTGGCGCTTTATGACCTCCGACCACAGCTCAGGACAGGATTTCTGCACTCCTGACAGAATTGGTTTTGCAGCTCATATCACTGAGTGTCTATCGAGTGAAACAGCAACATCACTAATAATAATCCATCAGTGACTAATTACGCTGCGGATCATTGATTAAGAAAACAGGACAGAACTTGCATCCCCAGTGTCCTGCCACCAACTGTGGAGTTGTATGTTTGAGCCATAATTATTACAAAAGATGAAGCAGTATGAGTGAATAAAATGACCATACGCAGTAAAAAGGAGGATGAATTGGTTAAACAGTTAAATGACTAAACTTTAAAAGCAACTTCAAGACTAAGTTCTCGACTCCAGTCTGAGGAAACACCCACGGCCGTCCGAGGCCTCTGTGGATGCACTGATGCAATTTGGCTAAACCGACTTGCAAGACCTCCGTTTGCGCCGACGTACATTACTCTGGATATCGGTGAGTGACATTTATCTGAGCTGTTACAGGCTCCTCATCGGTTTATGAGAGAAAGCACAGCCGAAAGTAAACAAGGCCAAAGTCGACACACAGGAAATGTGTTGAGTGGTTGTGAAGTGGTCTGTGTTTGCATCTGTGTCAACTAAACTGTGTGTTTTTATTTGTAGCTGCTGAAATGTGGGAAAAGGCAAAAATAAAAAAGCCTGTTTAATTAATATTATCATTGTTTTTACATGAAGGAGGGGTTTCTCTTGTTCAGTGTGATACTGTCCAGACAACGTGAGCCTGAAAGCAGCTTTCTGGCTTCCTCTCTTCAAGTGGAACGCAAACTTATCGCTGAATGTTTCTGCATGAACTGTGCAACAACACTTCAGACGTTTACATTCTTATCCGTCGAGCATTACGAGCACGGAGGCGTCATTCTGTTGCATGAAGCAAACATGCCCCAAACCTCCAGCCAGGTCCGGAAAGGACTTTCTTCGGCCACGAGAAGAACAAGGCAGCAGATGGTTGGACTCCCACTGAGCCCCGATCCCAACATCGCCGAGTCAATCCGGGGTCACATGAAGAGACGGACGAAGCCAGAATCCACAGAAAACCCACCGAATGAAACCGCTCTCAGTTTCTCTCTTTGCTTCCAGTAGATCTGCGCAGCATTTTCTGAAAACTGTTTTATGCCTCTTATGATGAAATACGTCTAAAGCCGACCTTCAGTTTTTTCCTGCTGCCCCTCAGGTTTCAACCAAACGTGACGCAGGACCGTAATCTGGCCGAATAGACGGTTTACAGAACAGCTTGGGAAGCTTCAATATCCATGGGGCAGAATTATGTAAATAGAATACAACAACAGTGTAAAAATGTGGATTACTAGCAGGATTACTAATTCAAAACACATTTCTAATTATGCTAAAGAACCATCTAATAGCACGCCGGGAATGCAAACTCCTCAACACTGCTGTGGATGTATGCAGACTGTGATGGGATGATTTGGGGAGAAAATATGTGAGGATATTTCTAAAAATCTAATTTCTTAAAGCCTCAGTTCAATAATTACTGTGTGCAGTAGATTTAAAACACAGAGACACCATCCAAATATTAACTGCTACACATTCTAACGCAAAGATGAGAACTTAAAGATATCAAACACTTCAAACGTGCATTTATTCATCTTGTCCAGCTGGTATAGGAGCAATCAGAAAAGTAAATAAAACTAATGCACAGCTCAGGAGCAGCATCTAAGTGTCGTACATTCTGCAATCAACTTAAAGTCATAATAATTAAAATATATATATTCTTGGTCAACTATACAGCATGACATATTATATTATATTATATATATAGTAGGTGCTACGTTGTTGGATATTTTCACGAAAGGAACGACTAAAATATGAAAACAGGGAATTTAATCATGATGATAACACATGTTAAAGGTACCACAAGTTGCTTTTGTTCGATAAATTATAATTATATGTATATTTTTAATTCTTAGGAGACATTAAATGAACTAATAAAACATGCCGTGGCTTCACAGTCTGCAGGATTAGGTTAATTATCGGCCCTCTATTACTATTACTATAACTACATCCTTCCATCCATTATCTATACACCGCTTAATCCTCACCAGGGTCATGGGGGGCTGGAGTCTATCCCAGCTGACTCAGGGTGAAGGCAGGTTCACCTGGACAGGTAACCAGTCTATCACAGGGCTACACTTAGAGACAGACAACCAAGCACACTCACATTCACACCTACGGACAATTTAGAATCACCAATTAACCTCAACATGTTTCTGGACTGTGGGAGGAAGCCGGAGAACCCGGAGAGAACCCACGCTGCATGGGGAGAACATGGAGACTCCACGCAGGAAGATCCTGGGTGTCCTCACCGGGACGCGAACCAGCGACCTTCTTGCTGCGAGGCAACAGTGCTACCCACCGATTTCGCTCCACCTGGTAACGCTGCCATGCACACGTTGCTAAACACGCTTTGTCACGCAGAGAAAATTAACCAAATTTCATCTAATTCACTTTATTTAACGTGTCTCTTAAACAACAATTAAAAAGCACCAAAAACAATCATTTGCACAAGAGCTTAAAAACTAATCATTCTACACTCCTCAGTCACATATTGCAAAAACTCAGCTGAACTGCAGGCAGTGTTTCCACACAGCGGAGAGGAAACGACTAGAGAGTGAAAATAAAACCTACTGAGTGAATAAAATAAATGTAGCACGACTCAAAAGCAGAAGACGGAGGAGCAAGATGCTGGACGAAACACTCAGCCTGCTGGAACATCTTTCTACAGCTGAAGGGCCGAGGACAGTTCAAAAGTAAAAAAAAACAAACTAAAATAACTTGTGCGCTCCTCGACATAACCACGAGTGACTCAGTTGTTGCCAACAGTTATGTGACAGAAACGCTTCGGCTGCTCTGAGCTGAACTACTCGCTGCATTTACACAGAACGGACAAGTACGGACACAAACGTAAACGGTAAAATAACTAAAGCAAGCAGAGGCATGATGGTTTTTTCTAGCATTGATAAATCCTGTGGACAAACGTTGCACAAGTTGATTTCCTTTTTGTTTTTTTTATGCAATAAAGCATCAAAGAAAATTTAGATTTTTCTTTTTCCTGATTTCTGTCGTTCTGCACAGAAGACACGTCTGAGTCTTTCTTTATGGTTGTTCTGGTTCCACAGAGGTGCACATGTAGTAAAAAAAGAGCCACAGTGAGTAAAAATGTGACAGCAGCAAAAAACACCCCGAGCCTGTGAGGAGGCCGGCGCTGCTATTATGCATTTGGAGGCCTCCGGGGCAAATTGCTGCATGTTTTAAAAGCATCAGAGTTTCTTNCCAACAGTTATGTGACAGAAACGCTTCGGCTGCTCTGAGCTAAACTACTCGCTGCATTTACACAGAACGGACAAGTACGGACACAAACGTAAACGGTGAAATAAGTAAAGCAAGCAGAGGCATGATGGTTTTTTCTAGCATTGATAAATCCTGTGGACAAACGTTGCACAAGTTGATTTCCTTTTTGTTTTTTTATGCAATAAAGCATCAAAGAAAATTTAGATTTTCTTTTTCCTGATTCCTGTCGTCCTGCACAGAAGACATTCCTGAGTCTCTTTATGGTTGTTCTGGTTCCACGGAGGTGCACATGTAGTAAAAAAAAGAGCCACAGTGAGTAAAAATGTGACAGCAGCAAAACACACCCCGAGCCTGTGAGGAGGCCGGCGCTGCTATTATGCATTTGGAGGCCTCCGGGGCAAATTGCTGCATGTTTTAAAAGCATCAGAGTTTCTTTCATTTCTCTCCACAATTCAACTTTAAGACCTTCTCCTCGTTGCTCTGTCGACTTGAGTAAAACTCTCGGGGTCGTAACTCTTGGCTCGAGTCGACGGAGTCACGGGACGCTTGAAGAATCCGTCCCTTGTCTGTCGCGCGGCCTGCAGCTGCCGCAAACAGCTGTGGTCAGGCGTTCTCGTGGGCATCATTTAATTGTTATCATGCTAAGCTGCCGTGTCCCCGAGGAGCGGGCGGCTTTTCCGTGATAACAATTAATTTGTCGCTCCCTGCAACAAAGTCACTTCAGGGTCCTCGAGTGCCAGCTGCGTCTCCGCTGCACAATAATAACTGTTTGTGTTGCGCTGCAGGTTTCTGCCGGTGGAGAGCCGCAGGTTTCATTAGGTGGCTAAAGAAAAAGGCCAGACACAAAACGCCTCACGGGATCCTGAGGAATTTACATTTTCTTTGCAAGATTGGGATAAAAAAACAAAAACAACCAAAGAGCTCAGAGCTGTATCAAAATCCACTTTATTTGTTGGACATTTGTATAAAAAGAAATTTAAAAAACAAAACAACAGAGCAATAGATTTTTTTTATAATAAATAAATCAACATAAATAGTAGCATTAAGCAAAAAAATAAAGGTGTGTGCATTTCAACAGTGGCCTTCTTACACAGACTTGCTGCTATAGTACTGTACATATATTTTTCAATCCCCCCTCCGACGTCTACAACTCGTTGGGTTGGGGGCTGGCTCTTTAATCATCTCCCTCCCGGCTCTCCTCGGCCCTCGCCGTCGCGTCCTCGTCCTCTCCAGTGCAGGAGTTGGGTGAAAGCTCTGCTCTCAGCATTCCTGGGCTTGTGTGCTTCAGTCCTCCGTGGCTCTGTCCTCAGCCTTCTTCTTCCTGTCGATGCACTCCATCTTACGGCTCTCGTCTTTGTTTTTCCTTGGGAGAGCGAGAGGGGAGAGAAGCTGGGATTAGGCCAGAGGACTAATGCAAAACATCTGGAGCTCCGCGCAGCCAGTCACATGTTAGTGTGTCAGGAGATTTGTTGAGTTTTGCAATTAGAACGCTTTGCATTTGCAGGAAGATTTATGTCTCATTTACTTGTTTTTCTTTTTTTTTTTTGTTTTTTTTGCAGAGCAAACTGGGAAGTTTCGCCAGGCGGCGTTTTGGCTCGATAGGATCCATTCTGGTGCTTCAGTTTGGGGCCAAATCAAACATTTTTAAGCAGCGTGATGTTCTGTGGACGCGGTGCAGCTGCTGGAAGACTCAAGTCAGAAAATGTAGCTCAGATGTAGTTTATTACGTTCCTGGAAAAGCCTGAATCTGTGTGCAGATTCATGCTGCAGATGGTCGCATGTGTAGCTCTTCAAAATGATACTTTGGTTTTCCAAATGAGCAGCAGAGCAGAAGCAGAAAACAGCAGCTGGTTGCAGATATCTACGGGTTTGTGAAGTTGTTTGTGTGCAACTCACCTTTCCCAGCATTTCAAATAAGCCTTGGCCATCTTCCCCTCTGTGTTCATGCAGAACTTCTCGGTGGAGTTCTCTGACGTGCTGATCGTGATGCTGCAAAATCAGAAAGAAAACATCAGAATCAACGAGACTCTAAACGTCACAGAGCTGCACAAGTTCACAAACACTCTTTGAAACTTACATTAATTCGATTCTGTCGCAGCCCGGCCGCACTTCAAGGACTTGGAAATCTGAAATGTTGCCTTTGATGAACTTGATGGTGGAGAGACACGAGCAGCGTCCCAGGACGTTTTGAGCTGCAGGAAAAAGTTAACGGACAGCAGTTAGATGTGCAGCCGCAGCAACAGGGACGACTTTTACACACTCCTGACTCAGAAACATCTAGAAAAGTGTAGCTGCATGCTAAAAACCAGAGTATAATCCAGTAATGTGTCACAAATTCCAGCATTAATGCATCACAATTCTGCAGAAATCCTGCTTTGACTCACCCTGATAGAGCTCCACGCACACTGCAGCCACGAACACCAGCAGGAGAGCACCGTTTCTCTGTGACAGGGCCATTTTTCTGCAGAGACAAGCAAGTCCTGAAATCCCTCAGAGGAGAAAGTGAGAGCTCGAGCTGCCTCCAAAATCCACTTGAAGTGAGGGGAGAGAAGTGAAGAGCTGCTGAGAGCTTCGTCTGCTTTTATAGGCAGCGTCTCAGTGGGTTTTCCCAGAGCCCAGCGCTGTTTCCCGTCAGGCCAGGCCTTAAAATGCTCTGGAATTTCCACGCTCACGCTGAAGACGCACTCAGGAATGAGCTCAGCGCGGCTTTCGGGGTCGGGGAGATAAAGTGAAAGCAATGCAGTCATTAAGTAGATTCCTGACGTGATTAGTAAGGCGGGAGCCTGCAAACGGGCATGATTAACGCTTTATGGCACATTTTGCCCCGACATGTCGAGGCAAACCAAACCCTAAATAAACCGTGTCATGTGAGTCAGCCTGACTCCGATGATGATTTCTCTGAATTGAACTGAAGTTTAAATGTTATTTCAGGTGAGACGAGGTGGGAGGTCTGTTTCCGAGCTTCGGTTTTGAGGCATCGCAGAGGTTTGTGCAGCACAGATTAAGCGGTGAAGTTTATTTTAAAAACGGTTCGAGTTGAAGCAGATAAACATTCTGCATTCCTCAACACTCCTCGCGCCTGCTACGAGTTACTGGCAACCGCAAAACACGATGACACACGGTGGCGTCACGGCAAGAAGAGAGAGGAGGAGGAGGAGGAGGAGGAGAGGCTCTGACTGGAAGCCGGCCAGCAGCACCTGCTTCACGCAACACACTGAAACACTTTCACCGTGGATAACGGTTTAGCACACATGACAAATACGCTCCTGTTTCCGGTATTTACAAGTCTGTTCTGAGGACATGCCGCGGCAAGTGCCGTCCAATTCATGACCGAACAGCTCCGAGTGTGTGAAAAGTTCACTTTCCCATCGCCCACACAGTCAATCAGTTCCACAACAGGTCGGTGTCTGTGGCTGCAGGTTAACAGGGAGCCTCCCGCAGAGAGCAGCCACCTTTAAATGAAAAGAAATCTGCACTTATTTCAATTACAAACACAGTTCATCGATCAGTTTCACGGCTATCGAGGTGTTCAACCAACTAAAGGGACGTTACGCTACATCCACGTGTTGCATGGTACACATTTTTTGTTCGTTTGCACTTGTTTAAAAGGAACCTAATAATTAAGAAAACAGGCTGAGCAAACATAATGATACCTTTGGAACGAGCTACATGAACGACAGCAGACTCAGCAACAACACACGAGAAACTTTTCATTTATACTTTGTTTTTCTGAATTTACATGTGAATGTACAATAAATAATGATAATCATAACATTTCTATTTAATTTCAACAAGTAGTCACTTTTCCATTCAACAGACTGAACTGATTAAAGTTCAATGTATTTCTAAAATTGGACACCATCAATAAAAAACTGTCAAACTGACTGGAGCAGGGTGATACGGCCAAAAATATTTATCACGATATAAATGAGAGGATTTGTGATAACGATATAACTGACGACTTCAAAACTGCACAACTTTATTGGTGCAAATAAAATGAAAAAAAAAAAACAGTTTCTTTTCCATTCAGCAAGCAGCTGTTTCTGATGTGCATTAAAGCTGTAATGTTCCAAAATCAATGGTGCAAAAGTTGTAAATTGCTTGCTGACAATGTGTTTAATCAAAAGGCATTTCAGATGGAAATGGGCCGACAGATCCTGAGCATAACACTGCATCGTATAAAAGCACAGTAGAGCTGCTTTGGAACGTAAAACTTTGCAGCCAGTTTCTTTGGTCTCACCATTAAGGATTCAAGGATTCAAGGTCTTTCATTGGTCACAAACACGGTGTATATGGTATAACTCACAGTGAAATGTGTTGTGAACGTGTTCCACACCGAAACAATACGATAAATAGGAAGTTGTGGGGGTGTATAGCGGTGGGTAAATATTCGGACCGACGGGGTGGAAGTGGACGGGACACACAGGCAGTACTTGGCTGCTGATGCCAGTTTAGGACAGCGGTCACAGTTCTGTTTCCACCATCGGGTGGCGGCGGCAGTGGGGGGAGGGTAGCGATGGGCGAATATTCGGATCTCAAAATTGCTATCCGGACACCACCACAACAACCGCTATATTCCGATATCTGGGTCCAGCCCTACTGAGTCGGTCGATGCCTTCGCCTCCTCCTCGGTCGCCTTTGCTTTAAATTTTATTGCGATATTTCAATTTCATATCATTACACCGGTGTTACGTGCACGCTATGACATGGCCCAGCCCTAAAACTGACAAATACATCTCTGACTGACACTCTAAAACATTTTACATCATATGCATTCGGTTTATACGTGTAAAAAAGCTTTATATTTGTCAGCTAATGACATTTTAAACCTTAAAACATGAGATGGAGAACTACAACAAACCATCAGGTGCTTCCTAAATGTCCACTCGAGGCTCTAAAAGTGACAGAAGCATTAAAATGTAAAGCAAAGATAACCAAGTTTTGGTCTTTGCAGTGAATCTCCATGTTTGCGACAACCGCACAAGGATTTAATTTTGATAATAGTCGCCTGTTTAAATTGTATTGTATTGAGTTGTTCATAATTAAGTCGGTGGCCGGTAGCTGCAGCCGCCTCAGCTCCACCTCGTTGCATTATTTCTAGACTAGCTGGGAGGAAACCTGCAGTCATGGAGGGTGTATATCACATGACGTATATTAAGCCTGTTCTCACTACTGGTTTAATGACAACTTTCAGCGCAGACCTTTCAGTTCAGAAAGTACTGAGTCAGTTTTAAACTCTGCGTTTCCCTTTGCAGCGAACATGGACCAACCAGAGCGATCGGAGCCTCCATCGCCGGTGCAGTCGGCTGGCTGGGAACGCTCAGTCAACCACAGCGACGATAAACGAGGACACGTGGAAGCTGCGAGCCGACGTCGTTCAACCGCCTTTGGGTTTGTAGCCGGTTGAAAGTGGCTATTTGAGACTGTATCGGTGGTGCAGGAGAAAAAGTGAGTCCAGTTCAGACTACTCAGCCTTTTGTTAACAATTCAGACACAATAACAAAAGTCCACATTTGTTTTCACCACAGCAGATGTGCGAGCGAGCAGCAGAGAACTTGGATTGATCTTAAGAACGATACAGCCAAGAAAAATAGAAAAAAAGGAGCAGTTTAGGTTTTATGTTCGTTGTTTTTAAAGTACCGAAAGCAAATCAAAACAGGATTTTTGTGTAAATGTACACCTCTAGTGTTCCTCGTATTCTCAGCTTCTATCATCACGTACTTCAAACAATTTACACCAATAATTTAAACACCTCATGAAGATGTTTAGCAATGAGGTAAGAAAAGATAATAATCAGCGTATGATATTGCACAGGATTGTTCTATATGAGGGAAATAATGAGAGATTTTTCTTAAACGTTCAAAATACTCTGAATGCACAAGTCTGAATGCATTTGAGCCCAATCTTCTTAATTTATGTCATGAAAAAAACCATCCTAAACAGCTGTAAGGAGGATCTTCTGCCTGTTATTCCTGCAGAAGTGCACGTTATCAGCTGCTCCATAATGCAGAGTCAATATCTTCAAAGGTTGATGCAGCTGCACAACCTCTGGACAACGTGACCCACAACGTTTATGGTAACGTGGAAGCAATGCGACACACCGGGGATGACTTGTCCTGCAGTTTGTGCAGCGCTGAGCTCATTTCTGCGCCCAGGGTTTCAAACCAAAAGTCTCAGCGAGGTGTCGACCGAGAGACTCACCTGACGGCAGCTTTCCAGGTTTGATAACAATATTTTTAATCATACGAGAGCCTTGAGGGGCGCCGCTGAGGCCCAGGTTTGACTCCTGTGCTGCAAGTCATCCCGTCTTTCTTGGCTCTCTTCAACTGTTTGTACAATAACATAAAAAGGCCCGAAAATAATCTTGTTTAAAGAAAAAAAAAAAAAGAGCATGGAGGCTTTTGCAGCCTGAACTCTGACCGCAGAAACTCTCAGAGCAAAACCGAAGGTCTCCGACGGGGACAAAGGCTCTGCAGCGCCGACCGAGCCGAAGCCACAATGATTCAGGAGAAGTCAGGAGCTCATTCAGTTCTCAGAGCTGCATCCTGCAGAGTTTGTGATTGCAGCAAACAAAGAATGAAAAAAAAAAAGCCCAAATGACGAAGCTGTTATTCTGAGCTGACATGCCTCATTATGTGTTTCGGCTTTAATTATTTGCCGCCTTTTGTTTGCAGTTTCTTGGTCGATGTCAGAAAACAATGAAGTGTAATTTACTCGAGGCCAACTTTATTTCAAATCCAATATGAGCGTGGAGCGGACCAGAGGCCAGCAGCTCCGCAGAGCATCACATTTCAATTTTATGTGTCTATTGTAAATATCACGAGCTCCCCGTGGGAGGAAGCGAGGAGCTGCTCTCTGTCTGTTAAGACTCCGAGCTTGTAAACCTGAACTCACGGACGAAACAGATGTGATTCTGGCTCTTATTAATTACATTCAAACTGCTCCTCTTGATGAGACATTCTATCTCTTTAATGAGCAAGAAATGAAATGAGCACTCTGACACGGAGCCGCCTCGCTGATTTATGGCGTCGTCGGTGTTATTTATGAAAAGAAAAGTGCTGCAATTTTCAACAAATTGTCTAACGCTGGCTGTGTTTATTTACCCAGTAAACAAAAGAGAGGAAAGCCTGAAGGCAAGTGCTGCATCAGACATGAGGCCACTTCGACTGCAGAAGAACTCAAGTTAAACGTTGCCAAGCGAAGGCAACGATCCACGCAACAATCCGCCGCACAGCGAGCGCGGCAGGTCTAATGAAGCAGCGCCGAGGATAAACACGGCCCACTCGTAAACACCTTTCTCACGAATGTGCGTCAGGGTCTGTGTGTCTTTGGCCTGATCTGCTGCAGCGGCGCTTTCAGACAAAACTGCAAAAGTTCAACGTGCAGAAGTTCAGGACGGGAGCTTTCATGCAGCTCCTTTAAACAGGTAACAACCAAAATGAATGTGCATCGGTTGCTTTGAGCTTTGACGACCTCGACACAAATTACGTTCAACCAATAAACTGCACTGAACTCAGGGGATTAGCTTTTCCTCTACAGCTTAAGTCGTTA